CAGCGAGACTGCAACCGGCCGACTAAGCGGCGTGAGTGTGGTGCGGTCTCGAAAGAAGGAGCGGGAAGCACCCGAGTCAAGGGTGAAAGTGTGCAAAGCCTGAGCCGACGTGGTACCTGAGAGAGCAGACTCACCGGCACCTGGGGCAGCAGACTCACCAGCACCTGGAGCAGCAGACGCACTAGCACCTAGAGCAGCAGCCTCACCAGCACCTAGAGCAGCAGCCTCGATGCCCGGGTCAGGCGGAACACACAGGTAACAGTCACCCTCATCACTAGTAGACACAACATACATGGCAGCAAGAAAAGCATCATAATCAAGATCAAAGATAGCAACCCCCGACCTAAGCAGCTCGCCCCAGCGAGGGATCTCAGTGGCGTCAGGGAACTGGAGACGCCAGGCGTCCGTCAGGTGGCCGAAGCAGCGCTGGGTGGTGTGCAGGCCACCGCACGGCTCACCAGTGCGGTCGCCGGTACGCAGGACGTAGGCACAGGGACCAGCACCCCCACCCCGCTGACGCGCAGCGTACCACTCACGAAGCTGCTGGGGGGGCGGGGTCTCACGAGTGCGCTGCTGCTGCTGGCGCTGACCACCACCGAAGCCGCCCCGCTGCACAGAGCCACCCCGACCAACTCCACCGCCGCTGCCGCCACCGCCGCCACCGCCGCCTCCTCCGCTCCCACCGCCACTGCCGCCGCCGCCTCCGCCTCCACCGGCGCCACCGAAGCCCCCACCCCCGCCACCACTCCCACCGCCACCCCCACCCCCTCCGCCGCCTCCACCGCCACCTCCACCGCCACCTCCACCGCCCCCGCCAGCTCCTCCACCGCCCTTGCCCCCCTTGCCCTTGCCGTTGCGGCGTCTCCCGCTAGGGGCAGACGCAGCGCCGACCAACTCGGTGCCAACGAGGTCGACCGCAGCAGCAGAGGCAACAGAGGGCAAAAGGGGGGAGGGGGAGCACCCCTCAAAGAAGGGGGCACGAGGGTCACCACGAGAGGCTCCTATAGCGACTATACTCTTCTCAGCTGCCAGGAGGCGCTCCTCGAGGAGGTCAACGGTGAGTGTGGTGGGGCAAACAGAGAGGAAGTGGTCCCTGACCGAGTGAAGGGAGTCAGGGAGCCGGGTGACTAGGTAGTAGAGGGTGATGTACATGGGAGGGGGGTTCTTGGCGCAGAACTCAGCAGGAAGCGCAGCGCGGTAGCGGGTGTCACTAGTGCGGAGGTGCGTAATGAGGTCAGCGACTGTGGGAAAGGCGGCGAGGTCAGGGAACAGGTACGGCAGCATGAGGCGACTAAGGGCAGCAGTGGCAGGGGAAGAGTAGCGTGCAACTACAGCGTCGTACAAGGTCTTAGCACTCTTGTATTGACTAAAGTGCGCACGCTCAGTGGACGGCAGGTGACTACGCACAGCAAGACGGGCAGCAGCATCGCGTGTGGCCCACTGTGAGCGAACAGTACTGTCAGTATCGGCAGCAGGGGCAGCAGAGGCGCCAGGCGTGAGATCGAACAGTGAGAGACCATCTTTTCTATCGCACTGCTGGAAAAGCTGCAGATCATCGACCCAGACCTCAAAGTTGACAGCCCGACCCTCAGCATCAAAGGTGAGCACAGTGGGGGTAGCCATGACAGCAGCAGCAGCAGGCTAGCAGCAGCAGCAGCAGGAGGGGCGCGGCTCGGCGGTGCTCTTACCAGGGGCGAATGGGTAGAGGTCCGCAAGCGGTGGGGCAGGGCCGAGGTGCGCCGGCAGGAACAGGGCCGCGACAGGGCGGCAGAGGAGGGCCGCGCCTCGGCTGCAGGGTAGGGCCGGGACGGCAGCTGCGGCTGTCACGGCAGTGGCAGCGGCGGTTGTCTCAGCAGGAGCGGCGGCGGCTGTCACGGCAGCAGCGGCGGCGGCGACCGGCCGTGGAGGAAGCAGCAGCGGCAGCAGGCGCGACGGCAGCTGCTGCTGGGGCGGCGACGACGGGGCGGCAGGGCCGTGAAGAGCCGGGGAGGGGCCGCGAAGGGGCCGCGAAGAGCCGCGAAGGGGCCGCGGAGGGGCCGTGAAGGAGGCGCGAAGGGCTGCGAAGGGCCACGGAGGGGCCGCGAAGGGGCCGCGAAGGGCGGCGAAGGGGCCGAGAAGGGGCCGCGAAGGGGCCGCGAGGGGCCGCGAGGGGCCGCAAAGGGGCCGCGAAGGGCCGTAAGAGGGGCCACGAAGGGCCGCGAAGGGGCCGCGAAGGGGCCGCGAAGGGCCGTGAGAGGGGCCGCGAAGGGCCGTGTGAGGGGCCGCGAAGGGGCCTTAATGGGCGCGACGGGCCGCTAAGGGCAGGCGCACGGGGCGCGACTGGGGCAGGCGCGAAGCGCGCTCCGGGCAGGTAAGGAAAAAAAAATCGTTTTAGTGGTGGGCCCTAGGAAACGTTCCCACTAGGGAACCTGCTCTATACCATGTGAAATAACGAGGAATGAATGAACTAAGAAAATGAGTGATACAAATATGAACCCTAGAAACTTGTACCCCTTAATGTCTGCCCCACTAGAGCCTACAAACACTATGTCATATATATCTGACAAACTGCCGCGTGAGTCAATCTTCGAGAAGTAACGAGTGTAGCAAAGTTGGTCGATGAGATCGTCGGTACGTGGGATGGGATAGCCATATTTGATTGTAACCCGGTTGAGTGCGCGATGGTCGATGGACACTGGAATGTCGCTGTCTTCTTTTTGGCGTGAACAGAATCGTTGCCGCGAAGGGTGATGTACTGAGTCGAATGAACAATTTCTCTGAATAACATACTCAAGTTTTGTTCATCCTCGTTAATGCACATTTTATTTTCAATGATGATATTGTTAGTTTGCTCCCCATTAGTCGGCGGTGTCTCGTCGAAATGTTACTTACAATTTGCGCCATGGTTCCACGGCTAAAGCTCGATCAAAGTATAGTCAATATAAAAGGAAATATTTTCATAGCTTTTCATTCATGCTTTCCTCACAATATGTTTGTTTAAGAAAAACCATGTGATTGACTTGAGATTAGATCCATATGTTGGAGCACCCCATATTATTGGCATCATTTTGTACATGCAATGAATTATAGGAGTATCGCGTTATACCAATCGGTCACACCCAACACCAACATCATTTGGGGTAGAGATAACATACATGTTCAAGCCATACTCCGTAAGTTTGTTATTACATACGTGGACAACAATTTGAGATATACGACGGCCATGACATAACACGTTCAACGTGTGTGATGGCTATTCAAAATACTTCAATAGGAGATTCTGTCAACCTGCCGAAGATCAAATCGACCTTGAAAAAATCTCAATCATACGCACAGAAATAGAGCTTAGGAATTACAAGTTGGCCTAAAGAAGATTGAGGTCGTTCACACACTGAACACACTAGAAACAGTGAATTAACTTCGTTGGCCTGTTAGCTTTGCAAATTACTGTGCCATGCCATGCATGATATTTGCCACACCTAATAAAGTTAAATACGCCCTACAATATATATTTTTAAGCGACATGCCAACTGGAATATTCTATTTGTAAGGCCAAGGAACATTTATAAAAACGTTGCACTGATAGAGCAACTATCAGATGCATGAGAAGAACTACCATGGATCATGATCGCTTTCAAAACCTGGATCTGTGAGACATCTCAAAGAAATGGTGATAACATTCTAGCATGAAATATACCAAATTAACCATTTAGGAGACATGCTGCTGGCTTGAACTCCTAGACATGCACTTCCACTAAGAAATTGCGTACATTCGTAATGCAAGAAATTGCATCGTGTTTAGCCTTTTAAACCATCCCTAGTGGCGATGCTGTTCCCAGAAGATTTCATACTAGGGAGCGAAACATCTTATCCCACGACGTGCTCAAATCATGAAATTTTTGACTCCAAGGTGATATTTCGTTGAATAACAATTGTACAATGGGAAATGTAGCACACTAATTAAGACCAACGTCACGCGTGCTTACTCCCCGACGAACGCGGAAAGTTGGGACGTGCTTTATGTTCGGTAGTAAAAAAACATATATATCAAGTGGAATGACCAAACTGTTTGACGAAATTTTATATCGCAAAATATGTCATGGACGGTTTCAGAGGAGGAGTAGAGGAGGAGAGCAAGGGGAGGAGGAGTGGGAAGAGGAGGAGGAGGAGGAGGAGGAGGAGGAGGAGGAGGAGGAGGAGGAGGAGGAGGAGGTCGATGTGTAGGAGGATGACGAGGAGGAGGAGGGGGAGGAGGAGGAGGAGGAGGAGGAGGAGGAGGAGGAGGAGGAGGAGGAGGAGGAGGAGGAGGAGGAGGAGGAGGCGGAGGCGGAGGAGGAGGAGGAGGAGGAGGAGGAGGAGGAGGAGGAGGAGGAGGAAAGGAGGACGAGGAAGAGGAAGAGGAGGAAGAAGAGGAGGAGGAAGAATAAAAGAAAGCCATCCGGATAGCATGCGATCAGGAAACATCAACCCTGAACACATTGTTGCATTGTGTTTAGGGTTGATCCTGTTACGACTGTCAATTTTGACAACGTCGTCACTGTTGTTGCTCCAAAACACCGTTAGACAAATCGTGCGGTACGGATTGTGCTTCTTCAAACCTTTCATCGATATATGGGGGTGCTTGGGGTAGACGTTGTTGGTTGCGACAACCGAGGGACGCACACTTACAGCTTGCCGAATCGTGAGGGGCATGTTGGGAGGACGATCAGTTGTTCTCAATAGGGGTTTTAAAAGCGATGATAGGGGTGGCCTTTCAGCGCGTCCATGGTCGGGTCATACTGCTTCCCGCAGCACCGCCCACGGGAGGGGAGGATGTTGATTTGGTGGAAAGGGAGGAGGAGGACCCTGAACACCGTATTCGGTGGTTGTTCGGGGGCACGGGGGGCCCTCATGGACAGCAGTGGGAGAGAGGGGAGCTAGCCTGTGGACTGGAAGGGAGGTGGGGAGGGAGGCCAGGGAATATAGAAACGACATCGAGGGGAGATAAGACAGGGAGGGCAGAGAAGGGAGATATGACTACGATGGGAGTGGTGAAACAGAGAGCGAGGGGGAACCAGCGGGTAAGTAACGGGAATGGTGCGAATAGGAAGGTGGGGGGACAACGGGGAAGCAGCGCGAGGGGAAGCGGGGAAGCTGTGCGAGGGACGCTGGGAGCCGCGCGAGGAGAAGCGGGGATGCAGCGTGAGAGGAAGCGGGGAAGCATCGCGAGGGGAAGCGGGGAGGCTGCGTGGGGGACACTGAGAAGCAGCCGCACCAGGGGAAGCGGGGATGCAGCGTGAGAGGAATGTCAGTAGAGCTACACTGTGACAGGCGCGTTTGCCTGGGGGGTTATGGGCGCACTGACCCGCTACTGAAACAAGCCCTTTTATCCCAATGGTCTAGTGGTTGGGATTCTGACAAGGAAGCGGGGAAGCAGCGTGAGGAGAAGCGGGGAGGCTGCGCGAGGGACGTGTGAGAATAATACGAAGAAAAGGTAGGTATTTAAGATTAAGTGGGCCTAGGCTTAGTAGCCTAGGCCAAGGGGGTCGAGCTAGTTTGTACCAAGGAGGGAGAGTCGAGAGATGAGAGGAGAATGGATGTTCACTATAGCACTAGGGCAAACAAAGAGGTGCACCACCTATAAAGTTAATATCTACACTACAGCTAGAACTACATGCAGGTATAAGAATATAATTCTGACATACCCCCGTAACTGCATGCAGGAATAGCTAAGTGTTGAACACAACCTGCAGGGGTACACCACAGACAGAGAAAACAGCAACAGCAGGCAAGGCAACAGAGCAGGTACAGTAGGAAAGGGGCAGGCACTCCTGCCACCCCTTTACTCTCCTCTCCCCCCCCCCCACCTCAGAGGGACGACGGCTGGTTGGTCTCACACCCGCCACCCCAGTGCCACTCCCGTGGCTCCCCCGCACCCTCACACCCTCCCCCCCAGCGGCAGCTGCAGCAGTGGGAACGAAAGGAGGAGGAGGGGAAGGGAAACACACCACCCATCACCCCCACACCCGCCACCCCTAGACCCTCCCCCCCACGGCTGCAGGGAGACGAAGGAGGGGAGGGGGCGGGGATAAAGCCGCAGAGCGGCTACAGAGGGTCGGCGCGGGTAGGGCAGGGGCGGCTGCAGCGAGTGCAGGCGCGGGGTGAGGTAGAGGCGCCGTCGTGGGCGCCAGGGGCGGGTCCACAGCGGCTCAGGGGACCGTCGCGGGCGCCAGGGGCGGGTCCGCGGCGGCGCAGGGCACCATCGCGGGCGCCAGGGGCGGGTCCGCGGCGGCGCAGGGCACCGTCGCGGGCGCCAGGGGCGGGTCCGCGGCGGCTCAGGGCACAGTCGCGGGCGCCAGGGGCGGGTCCGCGACGGGTCAGGGCACCGTCGCGGGCGCCAGGGGCGGGTCCGCGGCGGCTCAGGGCACCGTCGCGGGCGCCAGGGGCGGGTCCGCGGCGGCTCAGGGCGCCGTCGCGGGCGCCAGGGGCGGGTCCGCGGCGGCTCAGGGCGCCGTCGCGGGCGCCAGGGGCGGGTCCGTGACGGGCAGAAAAAACGTCACGCGCCACCCGGGCGCGGGAAAGAACGAAAATCGCCACGCGCCCGAGGCGCGCGACCGGAAAAACAGCAGCGGAAGCGAGAGGCTGGCCCAAAGGCCAGGACTTAACAGGCTCTAATACCATGTGAGAATAATATGAAGAAAAGGTAGGTAGTTAAGATTAAGTGGGCCTAAGCTTAGTAGCCTAGGCTAAGGGGGTCGAGCTAGTTTGTACCAAGGAGGGAGAGTCGAGAGATGAGAGGAGAATGGATGTTCACTATAGCACTAGGGTACATAGAGCAAACATAGAGGTGCACCACCTGTAAAGTTAATATCTACACTACAGCTAGAACTACATGCAGGTATAAGAATATATTCTGACAGGACGCGGAGAAGCAGCCGCGCGAGGAGAAGCGGTCGCATCTGTTTTTTCTTCATTTCATTGCGGTCGCGCTTGACGGTTCTAATGACGTTTTCAGTGCTTATTATCTACGATCGACGGGTGCGACTATCTTCAAGGCGCATGCTTTGTCCGCCAGATACGAAATGCGCATGCTGGGTCTCCCGAAAATGAGCCCAGGTTCCTTATAGGTTTTACTTTTTTTTTTTCGAGCTGCCCTAATCGTTTCCGAGCTCGGAAAAGTGAAACGTATCGATAAAAAATGAACACGTGTCAAGAAGCGTGCATGGTAGGACCAAATTTGAACGTAATGTGGGATATCGCACGAAAGAAAGCCCTTTTACTCCCACTGTTTGAGTGAACCCACGACAAATATGAAAGAATTAAGAAAACATAGTAGCTGACACATAAATTCCCCCATCAATTTTGTTTTTTTAGCCACCTGAGATGACTTTTTGTGCGAAGTTTGTTCAGCTGCATTCCTCCGCCATTTCAGCACGCTTGACTAGATCGTGGTGAGAGGAGAGGTGAGGAAGAGAGCGAGATGACCGTCCGATCCGATCCGAACCTACCTTCGCCAGAGGTCTCTACAACCTGCATCCCCACCCCAAGGTTAGGTAGGCAGCTGCAGGTTCTCCTTTCTGGTGACATCAGATCACAACAGCCCACACCTAGCAACTCAGGCCTGTCCAGAAACGTTGTTACTGGTAGTCTGTGAGGTAGTTCGTGCTAGGGTTTCATCCTCAATCGCCTTGGTCAGAACCCTGGTTGAGCTTGAGCTTGGTGCTTGAGGCTGTCCTCTGGTTGTGCTGATGAAACCCTAGTTCTGGAAGCTTTCTGCATTGCTGGTAGCAGAACCTAACTTAGTCTGCTCGCTGTGACCTTCACGCCACGGTCCTCGAACAATCACTTGGTAGTTGAGAGTATCTGCTTGCTTGTAAATGCGAAACCCGCACTTAACTTCGACATTTTCACGTAGCCTGTTCCTCAACCTCATCGTCCGTTAACAGCAATCGGATGCGCAGCAGGAGGGTTCTAACCGACTCGTCGTTCGATCTTTCCCTTACATCCTGGATAGAGTTTCTCATACCCACGTTAGAGCGGCGTAAAATGACCATCCTTATTGTTGTCCGCACGACTCCCTAATTCGAGCACGCGTAAGTTGCTCACTGTTTTCAAAAAGTTTTTTTCTAAGTTGCTTCTTAACCAGGCGTCATTTCGTTTTGCAGGTTGTGCATTTCCTTTACGAGACCTTTTTGTAGATTTAACTTATCGTTAACAGGGAGCTATTTATTGGGACGATAGTAGTTTCTTTGGACCTTAGCTCCGACTAGTTCCTGCGGGAGGACATCTGCCCTTCACAGAGCATCTGAGGAAAGGCAATTGCGTGAAATAGTTCAAAGTTTGGCAAGCTCGTTCAGTCACGATGGAAAGGGATGATCAGCTGATCCGCCTGCGTGCTTGCACGTCGGAGCTGAAAGCCGCAGATCAGATTACTGCGGAGAAGAATACTTGCGACGCGCTCGGCCTCCTTCACCCGGATGGCCCTCGCTTCAAGGCCTGGAATGTGTACGTGATTTTTGTTGTGAAGTTTGTCCTCGCATTTTACGCCATGTTCATTCTTGGCCTGAACTCTCGTATCGAGCCTTCCGAGGTAACTGCTTTTCGTCTGAGGCTAACTGATTTTCGTTGTGAATGGATGACCTGATTTCCCGCGGCTGGTATTTTCTTCGCCTTTTACATGGCTTATCTCCTTCCCTCACTGACGGTCTTCTCGCTTCTCTCACGGCAGGCTCATTCACACGCTCGTCATGTGGTCGTCGTTCTGGGTGACTTTGGAGTTCGCGTTCATTCCGAACCCCTCCCCGGCGATTCTCTATTTCGACAGCGCTGTGTGTCTCGTCTTTATCGCCAATATCGGCGTCACCTTCAAAGCGGCCTTCCGCTCCAGCAAAACCCTTCGTCTCGTGACATCGAAGAAGGAGATCGTTATGCGGTATGCTTGACATATTTCCATTTCTTATTCCTTTTCGACCATTCTTAACCATCATCCACGCTTCGAGTACTCCAGAATACGGCCGACTCTTCCAAAACATTTACATCATGTCCATGTTCTCTTTCTATAGTGTTGCCATGGAACTAAGTCAACGCTCACTGTTGTTGCAGATACGCAAAAGGGGGTCTGCTTTTCGACGTATTGTCGTCCATTCCGCTCAACATGTTTTATTTCTGGGCTACCGGCCAGCCCGCTTCCGGAGCCCTTGGTTACGTCTTTCGGGGTCTTCCTTGCCTGCGGCTCTATCGTATCATCCATTTCTACCGTGCTCTCTCCGCGTGAGTATCCGGCGAATGGACAACTTCCATTGTATAGTGACCTTGCTGCAGTTTAGAGTTACTTGCTAATGCGCTTGCATCTGTCGAGATTTCATGGTCACGCTGCCATTTCGAAGTCATCCAGTCCGAGTTTATATCGGTGTTATTTCCGTCTGTTGCTTTGCAGGCTTGGGACGACCAGCCCCTCGGTGTATTTTTCTATTCGCATTTTCAAACTTGTGCTGGTGGGTGGCATGGAAGTTGAAGTAATAGTTTCGTTGCTCTCATTGTTGTACCATGTAGGATTAGTTTGCTGCCATATCGTCTTTTCTCTTCCCCCTGTCCTCCACTCTCCCCCGGTTTTAGCTCATTACGTCTCCTCTTTCCCATCCCTCCACACACTCCAATGTTCGTCCTTTCTTTCCCAACTGGCGTCGCGCGCATATCATCGTCTGGGGTCTCAACCTCCTTCAATCTGCCTCTCCTCCGTGCATGTACCTTTCCCCATGGACGCGCGCAGAACATCCTACTGGCGTCGCACTTCTTTGCCGTGGCCTACTTCTTCCTTACCCTCATGGAGCCCGACCCTGCAAACACCTGGATCGGCCAAGGCATCGGCCCCGACTGGCCCGACCAGGTACTTGCTTTGTCACGCACTGATGATCCTCATCCGCTCGAGGCTGAGAAACGTGATACGTTTTGTTCTTCCGTGATCCTGCTCCCTTCTCCATCTATCGTTGATGCGAGTTGCCATCTGGTGCCGATTGGCAACCCATCATGTCGTCTTTCCCATCTCGCCCCTCCCCTTTACGCGCGGGAAGTGGTGGATAGGTGGTGTTCTTTTCTGTCAAAATCTTCAGTTGCTCTTTTTTCCCCCTCTCTTTGTTGTTCCCATCTGAGCAGTCCGTGTTCCTGCAATACGTGGCGGCGCTGTGGTGGTCCATCTTCGTCATCACCAGCATCGGCCCCGCCTACACCTCCGTCACCACAGCTGAGCAGATCTTCAGCTGCTTCTACGCGCTCTTCGGCATGGCAACTGTAGGTTCTTGCATCTGGCATGGGCATTTGAATTTAGTGTTTCAGACTCTTTCTGTTTCAGGCTTCTTGTCCTTTTCAAGGTCGTTGTTTTCAACGAGTTTTTGTGTCCTGTGTCTGTTTGTGTGAGCAGCTGGCGTACACCCTTGGAACACTGACGCTGCTCATGGTCAAGCAATCCAGCAAGACCATGCAATTCGTATGTTGCAACTGTTCCACCTTCATGCTCGTTTGTCGTCTTCGTTTTGTTGTATCCTTGGGCTTGCCGCTTGGTTCTCTTCTGTGGCCTGCAGCACTGACTTCCATTTGTTGTGATCCTTTCACAGCACGAGGACATGGCGGCTCTCAAGGCCTATGTCGCGCGCACCAACCTACCTGCGGACGTGGAGCGGCAGCTGAAGCAGCAGCTGCGCGTGCAGCTGCACATGCACAAGTCCGACGCCTCCTCCTTCCTCTCCAGCATCCCCCAGCACCTGCGAGTCACCGTCTCCCGCCAGCTCTACCTCCCCATCGTCGAAAACCTTGAAGGCTTCCGCCTCTGCTCCAAGCCCTTTCTCAACCAGCTGGTGGGTTCACGCGGTCATTTTCCGGTAGTCCGGTTGCCTGTTGTTACCTCTGTCATTTCTTTTCTTTTCTGCACGCCATGAGATTTCACCGTTCGATTGCAGACAGTGACGCAGCTTCCTGTTCTTGCTGTTCTGCTGAAGTCACCAGGTGTCAGAGATGAACGCGTTTACGGTCCCTTGTTTATTTTGAACGTTTTTGCTGTTCCTTGTTGCTTAGAAATGCGTTTCCTATCCGGTGTTGTTGTTCAACTGAGCTGCACCAGGTGTCTGAGATGAACGTGGAAACGGTCATGCGCAATGACATTGTGACATGGGAGGGCGACGTGTCAACCCATCTCTACATTGTGCTCTCTGGCAAACTCGTTCGTGAGGATGGACCTGCATCAGCCCTCCAGAGCGGGGTGGGTTTTGTCAAACCTTTTTCGTCCGAGCCTGCTCGTGCTCGTCTGATATTTCCCGTGTGTGCTCCTTTGGAAATGTGACTTAAATTGAAACTTCAAATTTTCTGGCTTCCGTTTTCATTTGTTGCAGTTGCTGTGTCACTGCTGTCGTGGCGTCCCTTGTGGTGCTTTTCCATCCTGACAGCGGGGTCGTCCTTTCCGTTTTCTAAGAGAAGCTGGCTTATTGACCCTGCGTCTGTTTACCCTGCTTTTTTTGCTGTGTCATTACTCCTGTGGCGTTCCCTGCAGTGCTCTTCCTTCCTGACGGCGGGGTCGGTGTTTGGCAAGACAGCCGTGATGTGCGACGTGCCGCAGCTCTTCACAGTGCGAGCGTTGGAGCACAGCCAGCTGCTGCGCCTCTCCAAGTCCGCCTTCACCACCATCGCCCAGGCCTACCCTGCTGACTCCACTGTCCTTTACTCCGCCCTCAAGCAGGTAATTTCGCATGTGTAGTATACAAACTCGCGTCTGTCATGTTGAGTGTGCGTAGTCTAATTCAGTTGGCCCCTCTCGTGTGACGATTGGACTTTTGACCTGCCGTTTACCTCAGAATGGTTGCACAGACAATGTGTTAAGTTATCGTCTCTTCTCTCCATGCCCTTGACACAGAATATTGATGGCTCAGGTGCTCTTACCCGCACGCCCTCAGAGCTCGCAGTCTCACAGGGCCTGGCCCGCTCACAGCCCTCATGGAAGGCCCTTGGCGCCACCCCAGAGGAGCCTGCTATGGGGTCGGCTGGCCAGGTGGTGCTGGAGTCTGTAGCTGTGGACAACGGGGAGGCCGATCAGGTTGCAAGGTATGCAGTCGATCCAATGTCTATTTACCTGTTGCGTGTGCTTGGCTGTTGCCGCTGGCTGTGTCAATAGCTGCTTGGATGCTGACGTGCTTTCTTTCTTTCAGCATGAGAAGTTTTCTCCCCAATCCGCTTCGCATATTGCCATGCACGGGCTGTGCTGCTGCCACTGGTCATGTGGGCCAGGCTCAAACGTTTCTGTATCATTCCTTTGCTGCATATCGGCCCCTCACAGGGTATGTTCCGCTGCTGCCTCTGGCCGTGTGGACCAGTTGAACGACTTGCTCTCAGCTTCACCTTGCCTTGCCCACTGCCGTGACTACAATGGCCGCACCCCCCTGGTATGCAGATGGTGGTTTGTCAGTTACGCTCTCAGCTACAGAGTTGTAGGGGTTTGTCAGATACATTCTTTTTCACCTCCTATTTGTTCCTTTGGATGCAGTCCTTCGCGCAGAGCAGGATAAGTACACTCTTTTGCCAGCTGAAGTACTTTTTTTGTTTCCTTCTCGTGAGTGCAGCATGTGGCAGCCGCCCACGGGCACGTCAGCTGCATCAATGCCATTCTGCAGCGCAACAGCGTCGATGTGAACGCCCTCGGTGAGTGTTCCTTTAGGCACGAAATGTTCCCTTTGGACGTGCATAGTCAATTCCATTACTCAGATATGTATTATTGCCTCTTGCTGTACACCTCAGATGGTGGCGCTTCAGCCCCCCTCTTAAATGCAGCGAAACCTGAACGTCCGTTTTCTGCCCTCCCTCTCCCTCTCCCTATCCTCTGCAGATCGTAGTGGTGCCACTCCTCTGCTGGAGGCAGTGAAGAACGGCCACACCAAGGCAGCAGAGGCACTGCAGGCAGCAGGCGCAGCACTCCTCCTCAAGGACCCGGGGGCGACGCTCTGCCGCCTCGCTGCATCCGCAGCCACAGAAGCCACCACCACCACCAATGCGAGTGCCATTGCTGGTGGCGGCTCCCTGCAGAAAGCTGGCAGCGCCTCGGGTGCCGCGAGCAAGAGGGGCGGCAGCAGTGTGGAGTATCTGAAGCGGCTGCTGGCGGCAGGAGCAGACGTGAATGCGCAGGACCATGCTGGCTGCACTGCCCTGCATGTTGCCTGCGCCAACCGCAGCATTGCTGTTGCCAAGGTAGGGCTCTTCTTGGTCGCAGATGTGCGTTGAGCCACTGTGTCAAGTCTAATTGGTGGCACAACTTTAAGTGTTCATCCCACTGTGTTCCCACTGTTCAGAGTCCTAAATATTGTGTGTTTTTCCTTGTACTTTCTTTCCATTCCCTAACTCCTTATGCAGCTCCTCAAGGCTCATGGTGCCGACCCCCATCTCGAGGATATGAGTGGCAACACTGCCTATGACTTGGCCAAGGCAGGCGGGTCTGGGGACCTGCTGAATGAGCTGGACAGCCAGCCACCCACCCCAACGCAGGGTGCCTTTGCTGGCACCTGTGTGAGCGTGTGCAGGCCCAGCCTTTTCGAAGGCCTGCGCTAGACAGATTTGGGTAGCATGATTAGATTAGGTGTGCATCTGCGTCCGTTTTGCCATTCACGGTGAAACACTCCAGGGCAGGCAAGTTACACATTGGCGTGCATATTGATTATATCATATTTGGCTACCTGCAGATGTGAATTTTGTTTTCTATTTTGGGTTTCTGTACCTTAGCTGTGTGGCATGTAGATTCCATGGATCCATTAACGAATGCTCAGCTGGCCCATAACATAATCCCACTCCAAGCTCAGTTTTTTTGGTGTGTGGGTGCCTAAACCGAATCCCCTGAGCGCACCACTATGTTGTGATGCAGGCGCGCTACTTGGTGTGACACGATATGTGTTGATGCTGTCAATTATCAGTCTGACACTGTGATTGTCTCTGTTTAGGGTTTGGGTAACAAGTCCAGTAAAACCTAGGCTAATGATGTTTCTTCGCGTCTACGCGCATCTCATCCGTCCATTTCGACCGATATGGATGAGGTTGCAGAATGTATTTTGGTCGCCTTTTCACCCTACGTACATCGGGCACGTGCGTTCACGTGATAAAACTTTGCGTGTTTCTTTTCTAACGCATTTGCTCAGTTCCGTGCATTTCCGTTCGTGCATCTCTTCTGCTCCCTTCGGCACTGTAGCGTTTTTGTGACTGAAGGGAGCAGTAGAAAGGATGCACAGTGTCTGTACACTGCAGAGCAACCCGTCCCTCCTTACCTCACCCTACCTTCCCAGCACACAGCTCTTATTTCCAGCTCAGCAGACTTGGCGTCTGCTTCCGCGACGTTTCTTGGGTTAATTGAAAAACAGATCTGATTCCACCACGACGTCACATGACGCCATCGTTATGTTGCCGGCTTTATTACTCTGAAGCCTAGACATGTCCAGGAGTTCGTCTTGTCTCCGACATGCGAGCCCGTCGTCGTCACCCCTGGCACGCGCGAGGCGCCAGGGGTGCAATTCGGTGACAGAAGGAAACGCAGCCTGCTCTCCCGCGGGGATGCCAGGCTTAGTTGGTGTTTTCGCTGATTCACGTGAACAAACCACACAGCGTCTTTTCACGTGATTCGGAATAAGCATGACTGTTCGAGCAAACCACAGGTTGTACCAGTAGTACTGTAACTGTAATCGTTTGCTAGCCGTTTCAGCGATGTTCGCTCGCACCCTATCAGACTGATTTTGGATCGGAGAAGGTAACAACTTGAGAACGGTCCATACATCACCGATTCCAGCCTTACTGGAGTGCATCCCCATTGCCAGAATTCTGTATGTACTTTCAGCATTCCATTGGCAAACCCTAAACAATGTTTCGCCGGTTTTTCTGTTGAGAAGGACAGCGGATTTGCGGTATCCGTCCCGGAAAAAAAAAGTTATTTTTGCGGAATGAGGACAAAACAAGGGGTCAGGGGCCTTGTTGTAGGGCACGCCCTGCTTCGCAGGCTGTCTACCCTTCCAGTTTTGTCAGAACGCTAATATTAGGACCGCCATGTATATAGGCGGCGTGTACCGCCTTAGAGGACTAGCACTAAGCCATCTACCAGCTGCACTGGAATGACTATTAGTAATATCAGTGTTCCAATACTTCAAGGTGATATGCGTGCACGAAAGCGCGTCCTTCCAGACAAAAAGGTGCATGAATTTGGTGTTCAGAGTCTCTCCAAAAAGCGCAGCAATAGCTTGACTCTTCAGAGTTTAGCTTTAGTCTTTCTGAAGTTCAGTTCAACTACCACCAGAGCTCGAGCCGCCTTAACCTTTTCCGGTTCATTCATGCATCTGACAGGGCTCTGCCATGGTTTTTAGAGCATGATAACTCAAGAGTAGCATGATAAAAGCAGGAGAGATATTACAACACCGAGTAACCCCCTTCAACATCAGCTTGCTTGCAGCACAGTTCCAAGCCCACCACCTCCTGGTTCCAACGGTTCCTTATTCACATACTTCAAAGCCAGCACGTGACCACCTCTGGCTGGCCCCGCAGAGACTCTCGCATAGAACCGGCAGTGGAGCTTTCTCAACCGCCCAGACCCGTTCGAGGTTCGAGGTTCTAGAATTAATTCTATAGATCATTCGGGAACTCTTAGTAGGCTTGCTGAGGATCGAAACCAGAAACGGTTGGTTTCAACCGGAACGCTCAAGCATCGAAGATCACGCTCAAGGTTCGAGATATACCGGCTGGGAGGTGTCAAGTCAAGCACCGAAGGTCTCAGGCAGGCCTTGAGAATGGTGGCGCGGTCTCGGCACGCTGGTCACCTGTGGACTGCGGAGGTAAGCGGCTTGTTAATTGAAGCAAGCATGACCCTAGCACTTGTACCTCAGTCTTCTCTTGCTCATCCCTCCTCTTTCCCTCCTCTTGCTCATCCCTCCTCTTTCCCTCCTCTTGCTCATCCCTCCTCTTTCCCTCCTCTTGCTCATCCCTCCTCTTTCCCTCCTCTTGCTCATCGCTCCTTTTGCTCATATTTGCTCTTGCTCATCGTTCCCCTCTTGCTTTGAATTACCTCCATTGAAAAATCTTCCCTTTCCTTCCACCCCGCTTCTTGGGTCTAGAAAGACCGCTTCCTGTTGCTTCTGCTGCTGCTGCTGTTTCTGCTGCTGTTGCTGCTGCTGCTGCTGCTGCTTCTGCTGCTGCTGCTGCTGCTGCTGCTGCTGCTGCTGCTGCTGCTGCTGCTGCTGCTGCTGCTGCTGCTGCTGCTGCTGCTGCTGCTGCTGCTGCTGCTGCTGCTGCTGCTGCTGCTGCTGCTGCTGCTGCTGCTGCTGCTGCTGCACGTGCCGCATCGCAGCATTCTGCCACATTGCTTCACTTCAAGCCTCCTCTCTCCTACCTCTCAACCCTTTCAGGAGGACAGCAAGCTTCTCCTGCACGTGGCAGCACGTGCTGCACATCCTTCCTCTTCTGCCTTATTTGAATCTCAGGACCGCAAGCTGCTGCTGCACGTGGCAGCACATGTTGCTATTGAATTATATATATATATATAGAGAGATATATGTCATTCTCTCCCTCCCTTTCTTTTGAATCCCAGGAGGACCGCAAGCTGCTGCTGCACGTGGCAGCGCACGGCACGAGACAATGGAGAGGCGTTGTCAACGCGGGGTTACTGCCAGGCCGGGACAGCAAGGCATGCTGCAACCGATTCATCGTCCTAAAGAGGTACCTCCTCTTGGCATTTTGTTTTTTTTCGTAGTTCCATATGCGATTCAAGGCCCCATTGCTGAGGGAGGAGACTGTTTCGAGACGTCTCAAAACTAGGCTGTTAGCAGTGTTGTGTTTGATAATGGGGATGGCTGGATGGTCAGACTGTTAGCAGTGTTGTGTTTGATAATGGGGATGGCTGGATGGTCGGACTTCATCTTGCCATGCTTGAGCGCTGCCTCTCTTCACACCCATGTTCTCGAGATGTTTTACCCTTCTCTTTATCCTGCGCAGAAGCTGACTTGTTGTGCCGATTTTGTGCTTTACACACTTACAGGCGTTCGCTTGTGCTCTAAGATGCTGCGAGCTTTACGACGTTGTTATCCTCTGCAAGCCTGCATGCATCTTCCCTTTCCTCATTACACTGCTGATTGCAACGCCTTCTTGTTTCCCTGAGGCCGAAAAGTGCCTGGAATTCCTTATGTTTTTTTTAGAATTCTCAAAAAGCATACGTCGATGCCGAAGCACTTCTCTGTGAGGCTCCACCCTAAGGTCTCTAATGCCTTCGTTGTTTTCCATTTCCCCTGTCAATCGGCACAGAAAGTTCTTCAAACGCCAAGAGCAGCTGCTTCATCAGTCCGAAGCAGCACCACAGGTGATTACTGGCATTGCAGCTTGCTGGGGTTCAAACTTCGAACCTTTTCTAACTCGCTGCCTGCTGAAATTATCCGCTTTTGGGCTTTCTTATTTTTGCCGCACCTCATTCAATTTACCTCAACTGCCGTCCATGCTCTCATTTTACACTTCTAGTCTGTCTCCAAAGCTGGCGTGCCCTTTTCTTTTCTCCCTTCTGCTTTGCGTTTGTGGTCCCTTCTAACCCTACTGCCTGGATGCACTTTTTGAGACGTCTCAAGAGCCGTTTTCTCTTCCCTTTCTTTGTTCCTCATCCCTTCCAGCTGCAGCTGCACTGCTCCAGTCTGCTCGCTGCTGCTTCCGGGGCCGCTTGTGCAGAAGCGAATTCGGAGGATGGTGTGACTCAAGATGAGGTTATGGGCGGCAGCATGCGTCATGATGAGGCTACGGGCGGCAGCACGCGTCATGATGAGACCAAGGGCGGCAGCACCGGTGACATGATCGCTGGTGATGGCATTCCCTTCCCGGTTGATTACCATGGGATGGCGGGAGGATGCGTGCTGCATGGCAGCACCGGTGACATTATCGCTGGTGACGGCATTTCCTTCTCAGAGCATCATGTTGAGATGGCGGGAGGATGCGTGCTGCATGGCGGTTCTATGAGTGATGGCATTGTTGATTATGGCACAGCTGGTGTTGGCATCGCCAGTGACGGCATTGCCAGTGATGGAACCACATGTGTCTCCTTCCCGGCGCATCACACAGAGACGACGGGAGGAGGCGTGCTGCACGGCTGCACGAGTGGTGGCATTGCTGATTGTGGCCCAACTGGTGTCGGCGTTGCCAGTGACAACACCACCAGTGACGGCATAACATGTGGCTCCTTCCCCTTCCCAGCACATTGCATAGAGACGACGGGAGGGGGCATGATGCATGGCGGCACAAAGGGTGGCACCGTCAGTGTCGGCATGGCATGTGCCTCCTTCCCAGTGCATGATGCTGAGATGCGGGGAGGGGGCATGCTGCATGGTGGCACGAGTTATGGCACAACTAGCGATGGCAATGCTAATGATGGAGGACTTGTCAGCAATGGCATTCAAACAGTGGGACCCCCGCCATGCCTACTGCTGCCACAAGGGGACATGCCACCGCGCCTCGTGCCGTCACACTCCCTCCTCCCAACACACTCCCTCCTCCCAACACACTCCCTCCTCCCAACACACTCCCTCCTCCCAACACACTCCCTCCTCCCAACACACTCCCTCCTCCCAACACACTCCCTCCTCCCAACACACTCCCTCCCATCACATTTCTTCCGAGCACACTCCTTACCATCACGCCTCCTGCCATCTCACTCCATCCCATCCCACTCCCTCCCATCGCACTCCCTCCCATCGCACTCCGTACCCGAGCGCCTATTGTCATCCCACTCCCTCCCATCGCATTCCCTCTCAACACCCTTCCACCCTTCAGACTCCCTCTCAGCACCCTCTCTCCCATCACACTCCCTCCCATCACACTCCCTCCCATCACACTCCCTCCCATCACACTCCCTCCCATCACACTCCCTCCCATCACACTCCCTCCCATCACACTCTCGCCCATCACACTCCCTCCCATCACACTCTCGCCCATCACCCCAACTGCGTGGGCTACCCCCACACATGTGGGGTTACATTCCTGGATTTTCTGGGGAAGTTCGTGAGACGCCTCACAATTCACGTCAGTTGCGGGGTCTACCCCCCCACATGTGGGGTTACATCCCCGAAACTTCTGGGGAAACACACACATGGGACTGCCAGCCGAGTCCCTTCCTTCATCCTGCATCACCACATGCTATTCGTGGCCATTCTCTCAGCCTGCCTGCTGAGTTTGGAAGCAGCATGTGGGATTCAACGCAGTCAACGCAGTCAATGCAGTCAATGCAGTCAGTGCAGCCAATGCAGCCAATGCAGTCAATGCAGTCAATGCAGTCAATGCAGCCAGCGCAGCCAGTGCAGTCAATGCAGCCAGTGCAGTACACGCCGTCAACAGAGGTCTATCTGAAGGCGACTCAAGGAAGGGCAACAGAGGCCCCCGAATCTCTCCCATTCATGGAGCTATTTGCATCCCCTTCACCCATGATTGCATCACTTTCACCCGTGCTGGTCCCAGTGTCTTCACTGGCTGCAGCAGCAACGGTGCCAGCAGCAGCAGTGCCAGCAGAAGAAACTGTAGCACCCGCATCAGTAGCAGCAGCGCCTTCACTGTCAGCAGCAGCAACAGTGCCAGCAGTGGCAGCAACAATGACAGAAGCAGCAGCAGAAACAATGCCAGCGATAGCAGCAGGGGCATCATCATTACCATCAGGTGCTGCAGCAGGAGGAGCAGCAGGAGGAGCAGCAGGAGTAGCAGCAGGAGGAGGAGCAGGAGGAGCAGCAGGAGGAGCAGCAGGAGTAGCAGCAGGAGGAGCAGGAGGAGCAGCAGGAGGAGCAGCAGGAGTAGCAGCAGCACCAGCACTGGCAACGGCAGCAGCAGCAGCAACAGTTGACCGTTGGGTTTCAGAATATTGCAAGGCTGACACGAACCGTCAGCTGTTCCAAGTATGGGACGCACTCACGCCTGCACCACCCGCATCTCCCTCCCTTCACCATCCCGTTCCCCAGCCCCCGAGGCACAAATCCCTGTCACCGCGCATGCATGGTGGCAGCGAGAATGACACGGACGAGAAGGGCACTAGCACGGGCGTGGATGTGGGCAATAGCATGGATGAGGGCATGGGCATGCGCATGTGGAGTGGCACTATCACGGGCGTGGATGTGGGCATGCACATGCATGTGGGCGTGGGCATGGGCATGGCCGAAGGCATAAGCAAGGGCGTAGATGAGGAGAAGAGCAAGGGTGTGGATATGGGCACGTATGCTGCCATGGACGAGGGTATGATGAAGTGCGTGGGCATGGGCATGGTTGAAGGCATGCGCGATGGCATGGATGTGGGCATGCTTAAGGCCATGCACGAGGGTATGGGCATAATTGAGTGTGTGGGCATGGGCATGGTACGAGGCATGCCCGAGGGCATGCGTGAGGGCATGGGCATGGGCATGGGCATGGTGGGAGGCATGGGCAAGGGTACGGATCAGGGCATTGGCGTAGCCATGGCTGAAGGCATGACCAAGAGCATGAACGATGTCGAGAGCAAGGCAATAGGCACGGGCATGAGCACCCAGAGTACACCTGAATGCATGCATAATTCGAGCTGCAGCAGCCAAGGCCGTAGCCATTCTTGGTTCTCTGCTGATCTGCATTTGCAGCAGGAGTCACAGGTCCCATCCAGCAGAAGCAAACCTTCAAAGCCTGATGGGTTGTTGTGTGGGGCGACTTTTGTGTCGACTCAAACGACAGTCCAGTTCAGCAGGAGCAGAGCGTCGGAGGGTGATGGGTCCCTGCATGGGAAGATAAGAGATTCCCGAAAAGAAGCGCAACCAGGTGGATCACTGCAGGTGAATTTGCGGCCAGATGAGCTTCTTGACGCCATGTGTGGGGGACGTTAGTTTTTAGTGGAATTTTTTAATGAGATTGATAAGTTGTGCTATTTGTAATATATAGCTTCATTGGTTTTTACTTCAAAAAGCCTTCCTTCCACTGCTTCCCAAAGAACTACTGGTTGCACACTGCGAGCAAAGAATTGGGATTATTTGAAGTGCACATTGTATTCATCCATAGCTACTACGGTAATGGGCGCACAGAAAGTCAATCTTTCCCGTGTTGACTACACGTCAAGGTTGACAGTTGAATACTTGTGTCAAAATATTAATATGCATATGTACCTACGCAAATACAAACTAGCTTTAGTTTAACTTAGTGTAGTGTGCCTTTCTATAGGTGGTGCACCATCAACGCTTGCCCTTGCCAGTACTTGTTCTCTAATGAGACTCTCTTTCCCTCGTCCAACTTCCCAACTCCAGAACTTATTGCTAGCTATCACGACATCGTATTAGAACGAACGAAGAAAGAAGTGTCAGCAAAAGACGGAAAGAGGCTAAGGAAGAGATAGTAGTGCGTAACGTGTCCTGCCACTCACGAGGAGCCTGGCGCAGACTGTAGACTGGCCGCGAAGGCTCCACTCGGTCATAAGAAATAGAGACCCGGTGAAGCAAGGTGGACAACGGAGCCAGGCCCGCTCATACATGCTGCTCTGGAGAAAGGAAATCGAGAAGTCAGGCGATTAGAGCTCGTAATCGTGCTGTGCCGCAATGTGCAGCAGTACCCAAAGAGTGGTTATCTTTGAGGTGGGAGAAGGTTTGAAAGGAGTTAATGCAGCTAGTGGAGTCAATGGAGTAAATGCGGTCAATGCAGCCAGTGCAACCAATGCAGCCAACAGTGTGTTGGGCTGAGAAAAGCCCTTAGGATCTTTGCAGGACTAAACTCTGAGTAGGACAATGTAATAGCGGAAGCGTTTAATGATAAGTTCATGAACCACCTTGCGCTGGTATGTGAGGGCAAAGTAGATTGATTAAAACAAAGAGATACAAGCTTTTATAAGAGTACAAGGGAATATGAAGGGTTATAACTAATAACTGTTTTGCTGTTGTTGTTGCGGTTCGATACAGTGACGACTCGGGCAACTGCTCAATAACGAGTCAGTTGTTTGTCCTTGCTGTCGCACTGTACTTGTCAGGTCAAAGGTCGCTGACCTTTGACTTTCGCGTAACCTCCAACAGTTGTTCAACCTCCGAGGGTTGACTCGCCGATGCTTCGCTGTGTTTTGCTTCGCTTATAACTCAGTGCTTCGACACGACAGATGCGTTTAAGTTACTTGTTTCCAACACTCCCCTTCGCTTCTGGAGTGTCGCTGCTGGTGACGTGGCTCTGTCCAGTCAGCAGCATGCAGTACTCAAACTTCTGCTTACCGAGTTTCTTGGTAAAGTTATCAGCTGCCATCTCGGACGTGGGGCAGTAAGACAGTTCGAGTCTCCCCTTCTCGATCTCGTCCTTCACGAAGAAATATCGCAGGGCGATGTGCTTCGTTCTGTTCGCGAATCCATTTTTGTTGGCTATGCGAATTGCCGACTGGTTGTCGCAGAACAAGGAGAAGTTGGGTAACTAAGCCAGCTTCGCTTCCTCCAGGAGTTCACGAAGGTACAGTCCTTCCTTGGTGGCTGAGCAGAGTGCGATATATTCTGCTTCAGCTGAGGAGAGGGCGATTAACTCCTGTTTGCTCGACTGCCACGAGATAGGTCCGATAGGTTCGAAGCGATAGATGTAGCCGGTGCGTGAGCGTCTGTTGTCGGAGTCGCCAGCGTGATCGGCGTCGACGTAGCCGATTAACTTAGGTGTCGAGGTTCCGTTCTTGTGATAAGTCAGGCCGATCGTCGGAGTGCTAACGAGGTAGTGAAGGGCGCGGTCGAGCTCCGCCATGTGTTCTGCCTCGGGCCTTTTGAGGTAGGTGGCGAGTTGACTTGCAGAGTACGATAAATCCGGGCGGCAGGTGACGGCCGCGAAGAGGAGGCACCCCAGCTTTCTCTGGTTGTCGCGTATGCCTGCGGGCTTGAGCGGAGTGGAGCTTTCCTTGTTATTTCCTGCGGTGTAGCGGAGATGGTGATCGGGGTGAGTCCGAAGCGTTTGGCGATAGTGTCGGCATATTTTGCAGCGTTGAGATAGATCGCGTCTTCTTCCTCTTGAATGTTAAGGCCGAGATACTGCGTGACGGTAGACGAGACCGTGAGCGTGAGATCTTGTTGTAGCTCCCCTTCGAACCAGGTAGTGACGTTGTCGGTCGAGCCGATGTAGAGCAGGTCATCTACGTAGACAATGAGTAGAATGTAGTCGTTGCCCTTTGTGAGTCGGTACGTGCCTTGGTCGTGCGGTAGCTGGTAGAATCCGATGCGAGTAAGTCTGGTGTGCAGATACTGCTGCCACAGTCTCGGTGCCTGTTTGATGTCGTACAGGGACTTCAGCAGCTGACAGATCTTGTTAGGTTCTCCGTTTGACCCGTGCGGTAGTTCAACGAAGATCTCTGCGTCAACGCGTGCGTAGAGGAAGGCATTGGCGACGTCAATGTCAGATTATAATGCATGTCTAGTCTGTAGTGGGGTACTCAAAAGTGAGTATAACCCTTTTAGGGCTTACTACTTGTATCCCCCTTCTTTCTAGTTTCACCATTCTCCTTCCACAATTTTCTCGACATTTTTCCTTACACCCTACACCCTCGAACTTCACCAAATCACCTAAGCTTCTATGGCTCCTAAGCCAAACTCTCGCTAGTACTTTAACATGCTATCAGAGCTTAAAGCTCCTGGCCTGTGGGCCCACTTGCTTCCGCTGCCCTACTGTGTGTCGCGCGCCCCGTGGCGCGCGACATTCTATTTTTCTTCCCGCCACGCGCTCGGAACGCGTGGCGGTTTTCTGCCCGCCGTGCGCCCCGAGGCGCGCGGCGGGTTCCTACCTCGTTGCGGCGTCTTGGGGGCCCGCGCACTGGCCCCGACCGTCGCCTCGTCGCGGCGTTTTGGGGGCCCGCACGCAGGCCCCTCCCGTCGCCTCGTCGCGGCACTTTCGGGGCCCGCAAGCCGGCCCCTCCCGTTGCCTCGTCACGGCGCCTTAGGGGCCTGCGCGCGGTCCCCTCCCGTCGCCCGTCGAGGCACTTTCGGGGGCCTGCGCGGCTCCCTAGCACGTCGCCCGTCAGGGCACCCTGGGGGCCGCGCCCTTCCCCTCCCCTCCCTCCTAATTTCCGCTGCAGCAGCAGCCCCTGGAGCAGCCGCCCCAGCAGCAGCAGCACCTGGAGCAGCCGCCCCAGCAGCAGCAGCCCCTGGAGC